GTATGCAGACATTCAAAAGTGCATATTGTAATCCAATAGAACTGTTCAAGTTGTTTAAGGATTGTATAAATTAACAAATGTTACCTATTGTCATCAATATCACACAATTTATAATGGTGTAATTGACAGTATCAGTATTAGGCCATCAGCTTCACCCCAAAATTTAGGTTATCGGTACCAAGTTAGGGGAATAAGCATCATTGTGATTTTTGGCAAGGTAAATACCTCTAGAGTAAGAAATTATATGATAGCATTGCAGGAGTGGCAGCTAATGGGTGTTATCACCCATTTTTCAAAATGGCCGCCGGTGCACTTACTACCAAATAAAGGAAGTTATATCTAAGCATACTGAGGGACAAAAACAGTGATTTTGAGGTCTATTTCAGGGTTTTAGGGGTCAAAGATTTCATTTAAGTCAAAATCTAAGTCATCAAAGAATTGGAAATCCAAGACGGCCGCCAAAATGGATGTCAAAACAAATATGTCACTATTGATTCAGTTCAAAAAGCTCAAAGAACGGTTAAAAGTGACTCTGGAGACCATGGAAAGGTTTTAGAGGCTTGGGATTTTATTTGTCTCTCAATCTAAGAAATCAAAGACTACTTTACATAGAAATCCAAAATGGCCACCAAAATGAATGTCAAAATGAATATGTAACTATTTATGTAAACTAAAAAAAAGGTTGCTTTTGCAGACCATGGTAAGGTTTTAGAGGTTGAGGATCCCATTCATGTGTAAATTGAAGTAATTAAAGAATACCTTTATATAGAAATCTAAAATGGCTGCCAAAATGGCTGCAAAAATGAATTTATATGGACAAAGAAAAATTAGAATAGTTATGTTATTAGAAATCTGAGACTGGGTTTCGGGAGAAAATGATTTTAATTTACTAGCCTTTACTTAAGTTATCTTAACCTTTCCTCATAATAAAATCCAAAATGGTCACCAAACTGGCTGCCAAAATAAATTACCACATTCACATGGAGCATGACTCAACCATCTAACCTATTTCCTTTATTGCCATCTTGAAGTTCACAGGCTGCAGACCTAGTTCTCTCAACATGATGTTCCGAGAAGAACATTGGAAGCCTCTAAAGCCTACATGCACTGGAAAGTGTCTCACCTTCCACCCTTTACACCTTACTTTGTCAACGAGGTCTTCATACTCAACACTCTTCAGTCCATCCGAGATATTATCTTCTGTGTAATTGTAGACTTGGATTGAGTTTGTCCTTTCTTTACAGACCTACGGCCCTCGGGCAGATATATTATATTGGCCTCGGGATAATCCCAATATCCCGAACCTCATATAGGATAATCTCTATGTACCAACTCCCTACATTGCTAAGGTCAATAGCTTTCATCCACTTTTCTAGTTCTCACAGATGCTGTTGTTGGGACCCATTAAAATATTTTGTCAAAATATATTCAATTCTCTCATCATGGATAGTATGAAAAATTGCACATTAGCTTCATTTGTTACCTGCTCGCAGAGTCTAGATTCCTGGAATTGCCCTACATACATCTCATCTTCTCCAAGCAGCTTAAAATCCGTTATGCTCCAGGGAATGACTAGCTGACTAGGTCATAACATTAATGATGTCCATAAAGGCTCAGCAAGAAGGATGTCTTGTATTATCATTCCCTTTGAAACCTCCATATTAGGACTCTTCTGCTTTCATAAACCAGTTCATTGTTTTGATGAAGAGAGTACAATTGAGATGGTACATCACATCAGGGCCATCTTTGATATCCAAATGAATATGTTCCAAAATTAATTATTCATTTTGGCAGCCATTTTGGTTGCCATCCTGAATATCCAAATAAAAGAATTATTTGATGACTTAAAGTTCTCAACCATTGAAACTTAGCCATTGACTTAAAATTCTCGAACATTGAAACCTAGACATGGTCTCCAAATCACTTTGTAATTGTTCATTGAGCTTATATTAATGGTAACTTATTCATTTTGGCAGCCATCTTGGATTTCCACATCAAGTTATTCTTTGAAAACTAAGACAATAAAATCATTGATCCCCAAACCCTTTCATGATCTACAAAACTACATTTTAGCTATTCTTTGAGCTTACATTAATAGTTACATGTTCGTTTCGGCACCCATATTGGCGGCCATTTTAGTTTTCTATGAAAAGTAATTATTTGATTACTGAGACTAAAATGAAGCATAAGTGAAATCATTAACCTCTAAACCCTTTCATGATCAACAAAAATTGCTTTTTATCTGTTCTTTGAGCATGTATCAATACATGTAGTTACATATTCCTTTTGGCACCTATTTTGGCGGCCATCTTGAATTTACATATAAGGTAATCCTTTGATGACATAGATTTAGACATGAATAGGATCCTTAGACTTGAAAACCTCTTCTAAAACTCTTCAAAATCATTTTGAAACGTTTTAGCTTGTATCATTAGTAACATATTTGTTTTTGAACCAAAATTGGTGGCCATCTTGGATTTTCATATGAATGTATGTTTTGATGACTTGGATTTAGGCATTAATCGTATCAGTGACCTCTAAAACCCAGAATTAGACCCTAAAATTACTGATTTTGCCTCTCAGTATGCTTAGATATAACTTCTTTCATATGGTAGCAAGCGCACCGGCGGCCATTTTGAAAAATGGGTGATAACACCCATTTAGCTGCCACTTCTGCAATGCTATCACATATTTTCTTACTCTAGGGGTGTACACCTTCCCAAAAATCACCATGGTCATTATTCCCCTGATTTGGTACCGACCAACCCCCCAGGCTGATCGCCTATATAAACATTCTTGACAAAGGGCTTATTTTCCCACCCTGACGTCCATTACTCTCTTGTCGGCTTAACCCACGTAAAACCTGTTTAATTGCATCGTGACTTCCAGTCTGATGGTCATGAAATATTGTTGGATGGTAAGAAATTGAATAATGCACAAACAAACGAGAATATTATGGAACATTTTTTTAAATAACAAATATCTGAAGATGTTTGTGAAAAGGTTTACACAAAAACTCCTCATATCCCGCCAAAATCGTTCAAGCCTTTAGTTGTGAACTGAGAGCTTTCCCCTAGCAATGTTCCCTGCCCACCCCTCTCCTCTGTAGCATTGCCTCCTTAACCAAATTACCCCCCCCCCCCCAAAAAAAAAAAAAATCCGTCCTTATTCTTAAGGCCCAGTAAACTTTTTAACAGCAACATTAAATTTGCCGATATCAGAATTTATCAGCAATAGGTAGGTACATTTCACAGGTCTGGATTTTGTCCGCCAAATTTTGCAGAAATTACACCGAAGCACATATTCCATGGAACGAAACGGAAAGACTATAAAAAACATGACACACGCGCGCATGTGTCCCTGTAAGTTAAAATCAATCAGATTATTTGTATATTTCGCGCATATGAATTAGTTGTTCCTGAGCACTTTTCAATAAAATCTAACCACAATAAACAAACCTGGTGGATATTACCCTTACTTCATTTTAGCAAAATGTAGGCTCAAACCCAAACTCCTGACAAATGCATGCGCTGGTATGTTAACAGATAAACCTCCACAAATATGAATTATACCTATGAAAGGGCATGCCATAAAATAAATCATACCTGATCTGATTCTGGGTGAAGAGTGCTGGATATTTGAAAAATACATATTAGGCCAGTCTACAGCAACCATTTCGGGAAGTCAGAGGGCCACTTGTTAGACATAATTTTTCTGAAAGATAACTTTATTCAGCATCAGTTCACATAGTTCTGGGTCGTATTAGTTTGTGGACGAAGGATTCTGAGCCTTTTTACCCCCCTAGAATAATATTTGAGGGGGGTATTAGATTATCATTCTATAAAATCAATTAAATATTTCCCATAGTACTGATTTTACGTAATATGTCACCTGTACAGTGGATCAGTGTATCCTGAAATAATAGAGAGATATGTTGATTGGTTTGGGAGAAAATATAATTTATCAAAATAAAATTGATATTTTCGTTAATTTTTTAGTTTCACCAATCTTATCTTAATCTTATGATTGAGTACTATTTTGTATTTTTAATATGGCTTTGTTGACCCCTACCCCTTAGAAATATGAGAAAGTGAAGGTGGCACAATTAGATCAGAAATTCTATAATGAGTACTAATACTCCTCCAAGTAGCATCAATTTTTATTTTGAGGGAAAATGTGATATTGGCCAAGGAAAATATCATATTGACTGAGAGCAATAGCCAGAGTGTTAATATGATAGTTCTCAAGGCGAATAAAATAAATAAAATTCATATTCCACCAAGACCATCAATAACCTATTTATTCCATAATGTTTTTCTGAAACATAAACTAATGCGACCCAGGAATATGTGAATTGATGCTACATAAAGTAATTATGTCTAACAATTAAGTGGCCCTTTGACTTCCCAAAATGGTTGCTGTAGATTGGACTAATATACATGCTTACATGCTATAACAAAAAATGGTTATTCTATTATTAATTGCATCGTATCAATACCTTAATGATATACATAAACATGTTCATTCATATTTTTATTGTTTTGGCAAATACGTGCAAGAATCAAAAATGCAAATTGTAATCCAATAGAACTGTTCAAGTTGTAAAGGCAGTGTGTACAAAAAATATTACCTGTTGTCATCAACAGCACACAATTGATGGTGTAATTAACAGTATAAAAATTCCTGACAAAGGGATTATTTTTCCACCCTGGCGTTCATTACTCTCTTGTCGCCATAACCCACGTAAAACCGGTTCTAATTATTCCAAACCCTGGGCATCAGAAATAATTAAATACGTCGCTCATGTCATCATGAATCAACGTACGTACGCTTATTCAAAAACAATCGTTCATTCCACGGGGATGTATTGTTTCACGTTGTATTCATTATCAGAGCTTAATATTTCAAACATATCAGCACTATCCAAAGCATCAAACAATTGCCATTCATATTATTTTATACATACAGTATACAATAAAAAAAAGTAACTTAATGGGCATCATTTATTTACCTTTGCTTGTATATGAGCACAATATAAATCGTTTACAGAATATGTTTTTATTTTACACGCAATATTTCGACGGAAATGAATCTACTTTTAATCCTTGCTTTTCAGGTTCTCTTTGCAGTATATGGTAAGTAATGTTTTAGTAATGTTATCATACATCTCTTTGAAACAAAATATTTGATAAAGTTTTAATTTTGTGAAATTTCCTCGTAAAGTTTTTATTTATCTTGGATTTATCCGATGTATTTGGTACCGTGGGAATTTAGATTAAAGGATAATGCTCAATGTTTAGGAAACGATTTTAAGCATATTGTGTAAAGCGTACACACGCATCCAGATAAAGCAAAATATATTTATTGTGTTGAAACGCTCACTTTATTCAGTCGATATTACTATGAAAATTAAATTCAACTAATACCTTTTTGCAAGGATTTTACGATTTTGCAATCGAAAGTGCACAATTTTACCTGCATGGTCAACTTCTTGGCTTTCCTTATTATTTAATTGATAGTTTTGACACAACTGCCTTTACTCAAATGATATCAGTTGATTTCAAATATCAGCTCATTTGTTACAAACTATAGTATACATTAAACTATTATTCTGTGTTTAAATTGGAAGTAATGTGACATATCATGCCTAATGTGTTGATATTTTGAATTAAATATTCATATTATCGTATGAACTGATCAAAACGAATTATTTAGTTTAATACCTTTGAGAAATACTCAGGAATGAGTAGATCTAAAAATATTCCGAAAGGGACACATTATCTTTATTTTGAATTATACAGCGTTTTAAATGACATATCTGATATGATTTTTCAATGGTTCCAGTTGTTGAATCAGGTCGTGGTCAAACATATGCTCCCTGCAAGAAAGTATGTAGGAAAATATCAAAGAAATGTGCTAAATCCTGTAAAATCGAACAGGTAAGACTAATAAGAAATGCAAATAGGTTGTACAGACTAAGGACAATTCAGAAAATGGAACTGAATATGACAGAATTGTACATTGTAATAAATTAATTGTCTTGAATTTTTCAATAAAATCAATTCTATACATTTGATAGAGAATGCATAACAGATATTTATTAATCACGTCAAAATAATAGCGATGTATCATACATATATGGTTGGTGGAAATATGAACTCATTCCACAACGACAGTAATAAACAATGGCCGTAAATGTGGATGTTGAAATGAACTATTTTATATGTAGTGTTTCACAATCGGCGATGGATGCTGGAACGATTGCATGAGCAGTTTTGAACCATCGGAAGACTCCGTGCAGACGTGTATGAAGCGATGCCTGAGGCCCCCGGGTGGCCCACAAGGTACCTAAGCAAATCATTTGTTTGACACACTATGTACTAGTAGTACCACCATTGGTTATCAGATAAGCCAAACGTTGCGTGAACTATACAACATGCAGTATCACACATTACATGTAGCTCTAAAAATTCATTATGGATATACAGTATCACACATCACATGTAGCTCTAAAATTTCATTCAAAATCAAACTAAAACGTTCTTTTTACAACCAACTTAGTTCTTGATATTTACATTGTTTATGGCGTTGTAAATATCTTGATTTGAAATCGCATACCAAAATATAATGTATCACTCTGTACATGTATATGTAGAAGATTCTCCGGATTGTGAATGGAAGCCGTGGGGTCCTCTTGGGCTGTGCACACAATGCAATAAAGCATGTGTTAAATTCTGCTTGCGGACCCGTGAGCAGGTTCCACCGAAGAAAGGTGGTAAACCATGCGTGGGAAAGTCTACTGAGTACGTGGGGAGGAAATGTGACAACAAAGAATGTATATCAGGTAGTTTCCAATTGAGCATGAATTTGAAAGAAAATGAAATGTGAAGTCAATTTGTTCTTGTTAGTGTGTACTTTCTCTTTCCATATTGTTAGACACCGACGTCCCATGGAGACAAAAAATGGTTTTATTAATACCGTACATGCACACATGTGCTATTAATGTGTAGTAGTGATAATATTCCCATGAATACTATTCGAGGATACGATGCTGGTCTTTGAATTGTTAAATATTCTTATTCCAGAGAAAAGGATAAAAGCTGGTCACTGTCATGGTACCGGAGATGTTCACTACAGGAGTCTTGACAAGTTTAAGTATAATTTCCAAGGTGTCTGCAAATACACATTCATAAAAGATAACAATGGTATATTTCGTGTAAATGTGAAAAACAAACGATGGGGTTTGACTAAAACATCTGTCACCGTTTATGTGGAGATACATGTAAATGGTGACATCATCCGTCTGAATGGACCTGGTCTTGGAAATACAGTGGTTAGTATAATATATGAGCCTGGCCATACAGCCATAGGAAAACCGGTCTTATCACAAACATTCAATTTGTGCTACAGAGCTAAAAATGTGCCCACGATTAAGAGGAAAATGTGCTAAATTCAGATCCGACCTTTTGGTCTATATATGCAAGGAAAATTGTTAGGACATAAGCCACGGCTCATTTGAAAGGTTTCTTTGTGTTTTTTAAGATAAACAAAAAATCAGAATATTGAAAAAATCTGTGATAAGACCCCTTTTCTTGTGGCCTGGCTCATATGCGTAGGCTAAGGATTACTCTGACATTGAACATTTCAGAATACATTTTAAAGTCTTCAGTGGATGTTACATTTTGAATGGTTAACTTGAGGACTAGGCTCATTCACAATATGTATGTCATCTTTTCAAGATAAACGGTAATACCATAACGACTTTCCCATACAATGATGACTTTTATACCATCACGATCAACGGGAACGCCGCAGTATTCGATAGTGGACCGTTAGGACTCAGGGTTGTAGCGAAAAGCGTGTACAAAACAAAACCTAATTTCACACCAGGATATATCAATGTACATGTGAAACTTCATCGGAAGTGGATGAATCAGGTACGAAATAGTGTTACACTACATCGTATTAGTAATTTTGGAATTTCACATAACATCTACAATAATTTGAAAAATGTGAATTTGAACTATGTTTTCTGAAGTTGATAAATAGTCCTTTCCAATAAATCGAATTCCTTTTTGTTAAGGTAGTTATGATGTCATATTTTGCAACAATGTCAACATTGTCAACACAATTAAGATTTTGAAAATTTTCTATATATTATCCCCTGTTTGATTGTTTTACTAGTAAGTATAACTAAAGTTCTAGATCTTTATAAACAGTCATATAATTTCTATTTTCTCGCATATTGCAACAATTAATTAGCCTTACATTTGATATAATCAATTCTTAGGTTGATGGGCTCTGCAAGAACTATGATGGCGATGACGAAAATGATTGCTCAGACAGTGCGGGAAATAGTCTTATAGGCCAACCAAACAAAGGTTGGAAAATAGGTCAAGGATACAAGATTTTCGACCCGGAGGATCCAAGGTAATGTAGACATAGTTCAATACTTATAGCTCAATCATAATCACACCGACTCATTTCACACAGATGTAATTTGTCCTTAAAACACGAATTATGACCATCTAATAATTTTCACTTATCATTGTCATTGATTAACGTGTACTATCTGAACAAGAATACAACTGACCATATACATGAGCAAAGGCGATATGAATATACATAAAAAATATAACGTATCATAATTACACTGTAGATGTGATGATGGGGGATTTCAAGAGGATGACCCTGATACATGTGATCAAAGAACCAAAGCTACAGCAACATCATATTGTAACGGTCTGATGAATCCAAATGGCCCATTTGCTAACTGCATCCAACCGTAAGTCAACGATCTTAATAGCTTGTATATGCCTTTAAGGAGAAAATCCACATTTTCACCTCCTTTGTGAAAAATAAGTTGACCAACATTTAAGTTTAAAATACCTTGTTCTATATTTTGCATATTGCAAATTTCCACAACAGGCCAGGTAGTATGTTCCATCTCTGTGTACATTGTTTGAAAACTATGATGTTAAACTACTTTTCTACAAGAATTATGCAAGCTCTCGATATAATATCGAGGTGACATGATATTACTTAATGGAAATGGAATTAAATGCTAAATAGTTGAGGTCACCTTTTTCAAAGCAGAATCAGATCTACACGGAGTGACAAAATTGCTAATAAAATATTGTACAATATCCTAGCTGCGAGTAGAAATAATCTTGATTTACGTCATTAAAAATTCAAAATTCAGTCAAACTGATGTCATATTTAGAATCAACATGTAAAATTACATCTAGAAATATGGTTTTGAAAAGAGTTTATCAACTTTGAAAATTTAATTTTCTTTGAAAATGTGACTTCTAGGTCGGGGAGATTCCCCATAGCCCCCATGTTGGAAAATCACAAAAATGGAAATATCTTTTCTTGTGTTGGTCAGATAATATTTTCTTTTACTGGACGTATTTTAATTTGTATAACTATCAGATACATAAGGGTAATATGAAAAGTGAACCACTAAAACTGATAAATATTCAAGTTTACGGGAATTTTGTAATACCCTGCCATGTTATTTCCCCCGAATCAGCCACCTGGTGGCGAAACTGGTAACTACATACTCGCATCTGAGTAATTGGCCTAAAATCAATTATTTCTTGTATCAAATACAGTATCTGACGAGAGATCCGAGATACTGTATAGATTGGCGAGGTTATTTAGGATTCAACGTGCAAAAATGAGAGAAAGGTATTTAAATTCCCCCAAATATTAATACATGCATTTTTGGAGATTTCTTGTAAATAGATATGACAAGGTATGTTATGAGCAGAAAATATTCTAAAACTGAAACAACTCTTGTTAAGCTTGCTGCTAGATCTGATTCTTTCTTTAAGAATATCTGCATGTAAGGACTACACACACGTTCTACCTGTTTCCTTGAATAATACAAAGTCTGTATTCTAAAAGTCTAATATCCATTGCAACAGAATGTCCAGAGATGAAATAACAACATGGATCCGCGACTGTATCATGGACTTTTGCGTTGACCCAGCAACTAAATGCGCCATCGCGGAAGCTTTTGCTACATCATGCATGGACTCGGGAATACCAATAGGATTTTGGAGAACTGAATGTCGTAAGTTGTTGAATAGATATCAGTTTTATAAACGTGCACTTTAAAAACAAAGCAAATATATTTAAAAAATGTAAACACGCCTATGATAAAGTTTATAAAAAACATGAAAAGAAACATAATGTTATATGAGGAATATGTGTTTAATCCATCATTATGTATTGATAACACTAGGTCTAAATACTTTTATGCAATTTTTTCCTTCATTTGTCAATTTTTTTTGCCACGGTTTTACTAGACTAATGTGAGACTTTGACGTCATAAATTTCAGATGTTTTATCATATTTCATTCAATTATTAATATCAGTCACGTGCAGTTTGGATAGTGTGATTATGGTTATTATTGAAATTAGTACAATTTACAATAAATCATATATATATATTTCAAAAATAATTCTATATATATTCCAACAAATGATTTCAATATTATTGTGCATATATAGCCATACCTGTGTATACTTTTAAGTTTCTACATTATTAATTTATATATTACCATTTTATTCTCAAAGCATTGCAATGCGGTGAAAATGAACACTACCTTCCCAACGGACCGGGTTGTGAGCAACATTGCCCAGAATTTGGACAAACTTGGTGTGAAGCTCCTCCTACGGAGGGTTGTTTCTGTAAACAGGGATATGTGAGATGTAAACAAAAATGCATTCGCCCAAAAATAGGTAAATTACTACAAAAATGATTATTCATTAGAAAAACGGAGTATTGTACTTGTTGAATTGATAATATACTAGCAATATGTAGCTAAAAATGCGTGATAGTAATTGATGAGTTCAAAATCCTTGTTTTATAAAATATGAAACCTTTGATGTATTTCAAAGCGTTTAGATAGATAAAAATGCTGAGTGGTAAACAAATAAGTGATTAAAAGAGCGATACATTTAACAACGAACAATCAGCATTTATAGATTAATTACATAGTTTGTTTCATTGTAATTAATGTTTAGTTAATTCTCTATCTAAAAAATATAATACATGCTAGTTTTCAGATGGTATGTGTACATGTTTTATTCCATAGTATATTTAGACAATGAAAGAACTTGAATTGAAAGTACCTGATTAATATCAATTTGCCTGTCGATTAAAATCACATCAGATCAAATTAATTATAAAAGGTGAAAAACCTTCTATTCTACAACTGTATGATAAAGTATTTGAATACCTTTTGAAATCATACAAACAATTAAAATATAGAGAAAATACATGTATACATATACGTAAAATACTTCAGAGTGTTTGACTAAGTGATCCACAACTCGTAAGAAAGGCCATGATGAATACTTATTCGACTGTGTATGAGTGTACATAATACTATATTATACCCCATTTTATTTTTATTTTGTTTGACAGATTATTGTCCAGAGACATCAGACAGTAGATATGGAGGTGATCCACCGAGGGCATGCTGTGTAAATAGTATTTGGTACTGGCCTTCTTCATGGAATACCTACATCTCTCAGCCTATGCCTCAAGGAGAGCCAACCTATGGAGCGTGTCCCGAAGGAGAAACGTTTAAAGTGTATGGTTATAAATCATGTGGATGTTCTCCAAAAACAGGTACCAGTACTTAGATAATATTAATAAATGTATATAAGTCAACGATCCTAACGATCATAATGCAGAAAATTCAACGTCGTTATACAGAGTGCCCCAAAAGTATGCCCCTTTAGGTATGCCCCATATACCAATGTCTTCATAACATGTCATCATTTCAAAGCTTATCCAAAGTTACATTTATTTTTCAAGTATCATGGTTCAACTCACAAATGGTAAAAAGTATGTAGGCATTTCAAAACTTAGTGTTTGGCCAAAAATATAGTTCATTTTAGTATCCTGGAAACAGGCCTGAACTGAATATATCACGTTCTCAACTTTTCAGTTACATTCTCAACTAACCCCCTTAAGGTCTGTAATATGTCATTTATACCTTAGGCCTAAGGTCAGTGTATTGAAATTTTCAATGATAAGACCTTAGGCCTAAGGTCATGTATATGACTAAACCATTCATTATTGAGACCTTAGGCCTAAGGTCATGTAAACGGTATAAACACGTATATCGACGAGACCTTAGGCCTAAGGTCGGGTGTATAAGGAAACCATTCATCGATGAGACCTAAGGTAAACGGTATATACACGTATATCGACGAGACCTTAGGCCTAAGGTCTGGTGTATAAGGAAACCATTCATTGATGAGACCTAACGTCATGTAAATCACGAAACGGAATATTGACGAGACCTTTGGCCTAAGGTCAAGTGTATTAGGAAACCTTTAATGACACCAGTTCTAAACAGTTCTAAAAAGAGGAAGTTGAGGGTAGATACTCCAAAAAAACTCTTCTAGAATGCCTTAAAAGGTTTTATGAGGATTACAAAATGTCAAGTTCCTGTTTGAAGCACGTTTAAGGTCATATATGGAAAGCATTGCTGCCGTTAACAAGGCTTAGGGAAACACATCGACTATTATTTTTGTGTAAAACTGGCCAAACATTAAAATCTTGAAAATCCTTTAACTTTTTTCCATTTGTGAGTTAAATTGTGGTACTTGACAGATCAATGTTGGATGAGCTTTAAAATGATATAAGGCACAAACAATGAAGACATTGGTATATGTCTGCCTAGTGGATCCCCAAAACTTTCGGAACATCCTGTAAGAAACAGCCACTGGATTACTTTTATATTTCATTGTTTGTTTGTTTTTTTGTTTTTTTATTCAAGTAATAATTTAATAAAATTCAAGTACAAGCTTCATTAAATACAAGTAGTTCTTTCATATAGATATATGTACTATGTATATAAATCATTTTTAAATAGTAATAATAACAAAAAATTATTACATGATCTTACTGACTCCATTCACACCCATTCATTACATTCGTGCATGCATTCATTCACCCACTATTCATACATTGACTATGACACAAATTTGTAAAATAAGAATTTATTTGTGTATTCATAAAAGTCTATATAAAGCATGTATGTCTACACCCTTTTGATCAAGCAGCTTAACACCGTTCAAATATATTCTCAGATAATTGGTAAATTTGAAAAAGTAAGGTAATTCATTTTCTAAAAAAGATTTGTATATGACATATTTCATAATTAGTATGCACAGATTTAGTTCTGCACCTTTTTCTCTATTCCCGATAATACCTAATAAAATATCATTTTCAGTTAGATTTAATTCTTTATTTAGTTTTAGTTTCCACCATTCAATAAATTGCTTCCATATCTCTTTTGTCATTCTACACTTCACCAGCATGTGCTCCATGGTATGAGTATCATCACACCATGGACATTTGTCTGTCTGTGAAATGTTCATCATTTTTAATTTACGGTTGCACGCTAGTGTATTCGTAAGTATTTTGTACTGAAAGCTCCACATTTTAGTTTCATATGTAACCTTTTTTGCAAGTGTATAATAGTATCTCATGTCATTTTCATTTACATTGTTATTTTGTATCCACTTTGTTAGTGTTGTGGGTTTCTCGATTTCTTTTCAAGGATTTTGTTGTAAATAGCTTTACACGACAATTGACTAGGGTTAGAAACATTTTTCTTTGAAGGGTTGTTTTTCAATATGCTATTTTTAAGAGTTTCCCATTTTTGGGAATATCACTGAGTATGCTGGCATACTTTAAAAAGTCTATAGGAATGTTGAATTTTCGTTCTAGGATGTCATAAATTGTTGCAATACCTGCTTGATGCCATGTTTTATAGTACACCATTTTATTATTGACTAAAATGTTTTTATTATTCCATATAACTTCATATTTAACATCATTCCAATTATTGACATCATGATGGGTTACTTCAGCCCCATGTAATTCTCTTGTCGCAATTTTCTTTATCAATATTATCAATTGTTGGAATTTCATTTTGAAAAAATATGTTTGAATATTTACCATCCGGGTCATTATTCTTTTTACTATATAAATCTTTGTAAAATGATTCTTCTGTTTGTAATACTTGTTTGGGGTCATTAACTAAAACATCTCTTTTATCATGAATAGAATTTATCACTTTATTGGAGTAATTATGCTTTTCTAAATTTAGAAAGTATTTGCTTGATCGTTCACCATACTCACACCACCGTGCTTTGGATCTCATTATACTACTTTGTGTTTTTCTATCCTGTATTAATTCTACTTTAAGTTTGCATGTATTATATTTGTTAACAGTTTCAATATTATTATTTCGGTCAAGTGCTACATGAGCTTCGTTTAGGTCTTTCAGTGCTGTTTCCTCTTCCAGTTTATGTTCCTTTGCCTTTGTCTTACAATATCTCTTACAGACTGATCTGATATCCATTTTAATAATATCCCATTTTAACCCCAGATCTTGAGTATGTTTGTGTTTTTCCTTAGAATTTTTAATCTCCTCTCGTATTAACTTTTTATATTCCACATCATTATCCCACAATGAATTATATTTCATTGTTACTTTAGGTTTTTAACAGTTAATACACTTTTTTAATTATCCTTATAAATTTGTAATTGTAGGTAATTAACACAATCAATTTATTCAGACGCAAATACTGTTTCGTTACTATTAGCGAGGCCTAACGGGGAGAGTCACTTGCACATTCTTTTTCAGTTTTCAATTTGTTCAACTCACATTTTTTATTTTGAGAATTAGAGCTACTAGCAAATTGATAATTATCATCGATAAACTCCGAAAATATTTTCGTCTGCAATAAGTTTATTTGCACATTAAAGTGCATAATTAACAACATATCATTTTAATTGATTACATAATAGTAATTGTTAAATAATGCAAGTTGGGCATAAACTAATAAAGTCCACAAAAATAGATTTCATAACTTTAATCTGGGATATTCACTATCAAGTTCATTTCATCAAGAATGCCAATGGCGTCGTTGGTCCGAATGGTCCAATTGGGAATGCGACGAGTGTCCCCCAAGTCCGAAATGCGGAAGCGGTTTGGACGTCAAGGTTACGTGTAGGAGAAGTCGAACGCGTCAGCAGGATCAAGCAACGTGTTCACCACCACTGAAAATTGAAAATGAGCATGCCAAGAGAACAATGCAGTGTAGCTACACTATTTCACCATGTAATTATTCTAATTTTTATTCCTTCTTAAATGCTAACACTATCGCACGGATTGAAATAAATGAATAAAGAACATTGTTATATTTTATTTACTTGGCAATTATTGTAGAATTGTGTACTTCAAATAAAATGAGATATGCGGTTAGTGACTGGTGTTTGAAAAAAGTGTATGTCCGTTGATTGATAATAACTGCTAAAAAACTTAGACCTTACAATAAACCTTACATATTTTATTTCGAAAAGGTATATTAGCATTGATAAAAAAGTATAAAATTGAATAGCAACGTGTAAACGATAGACGATCAACAGGCTAAACAATAGATCATTGAAAATATAATAGTCATATTAAGCCGATAATGACCTGCAATAAGTTAATTCTTGCATTGTAATAATTTTAGGCCTATACAATACAATACAATGCAATACAATCACTATGTTTTCATCCATTCAAAATAGCATGTCGAAATTACAATGAACACTATCATGTATGCAAAGACACGCTAAAAACTTACCAATTCACATCACTCTGCTGAACAGGTGAATGTAGTCCAATCTACAATGTAATGGATAACGTTTTGGGAAAGCCATATAATAATTTTAACCTTATTCACCCACCTTAATAGCTCTATGTCCACATTTCTAGGTTGTACCTGGACCCCATGGAGTCCACCTCGATATGGGCAGTGTAGCAAAAACTGCGGAGGGGGAACCAGGATAGCAACGACTACCAGGGGAAAAATATTTAGCAACACGGGAAATTCACCCACTTGTGATGGTCCTTCAATTGATCGTCGTTCTGTCCAGTGCAATACTCCACTGTGTATGAAATGTTTACAATATCGTATACAATTTGTGTATTCTTTGATATTTTATTATTGTTCCGCTTATCAGGAAAAAGAGGCCCGACAAATATGATAAGTCATAAACATATTTTCAAATTCCTTTAATTTGAAGAAGAAAGGATGATTGATTTGCTTACTCGTACCAGAGGATCAATATAGAATATAATGAATTACACTACTCGTTATGTCTATGTCTCTTCAGGCTGCGCATGGGCATCATGGGGTCCACCACAATATGGCCAGTGTAGCAAGACATGTGGAGGGGGAATCATGTATTCGACACGCTATAGAACAAAAACATTTGGCAATACAGGAAATTCACAGACTTGCGATGGCCTCTCAGTGGATCGTCGTTCTGTCTCATGCAATAATTGCCGTATGTAGTGTTTGCAAGACAATAATCTGTATCAATAATAGTTGATCTTCGTAGATTCTGTAGTTTTCCAAGTAGTATTTTGTTTTGGATGTTATTCAATAAGAACATTAATTCATAGTTTCCATTATATCAACTCCAAAGTCAGTTTAAACTTTATCTAACAAGCAAGTAAAGTGTCGATACGTCATGGCACGTCATGTCATGCGAAGAGAGCGTTTTACATGATAAAACAGTTGTGCATTTCTGTTTATAAACCAAATTCTCTAATCTTTATGTATAATATTTTTAAAGCGTGTATACCGTGGGGACCATGGACAGACTGGAATTGTACCGAATGTGTACACGTAAATGAATCACAACCATATGACGAGATCCAAGATCCTGATAATGGCCACGATCCTGATAATGGGTATGATCCAGATAATGGGAATGAACATTCCAAATGCTTTAAGGGTACAAGAACATGCAAAAGAACAAGAGAATGCCCTCCGTGTACATTTCCACCACTCCCATGTCCGGAGCCAACATCAGAGACGAAAATTGAACCTTGCTGTATGGGTATGTAGAAGAATCATGTCAATCTTCAAAGGATCAATGATTCAGATTTTAATTCTAGAAATGATAGAGATATTCTAATAAAAAGTATTGAACAACTATAATTACTCAACCATTTAAAAGTCATGCTAGAGTAGACTCGCCACTCATATTTAAGTAATATTATTCTACCTTTAGTGGTATATAAAGATGACAAATGGAACTTACCATTGGCTACTAAGTCTATACAGAACTAACTAACTACATACACTGTTCGTTTTTAAATATTGGATATTTCATGTATAACACTTCATGGTCGTTTGATTGCTCATTCTAGGAAAACCGTTTTTAAAGTACACTCCAAATAGGAATAAATTTGTAACCAAACGTTTTATATCACTTGCAAGATTAGCTTTGCTATCTTTGGTACAGAAATCTTGTCTCTTATTCCAATAGTACAAATGTATTTCATCAGTGCTGCTCAATTGTATATTTTTTTATCAGGGGCATCCTTCAGATATCTACTGACAATATAATGCATTTTATCCATAATATCGAAGGAGCTCTCTCAATACCCGGATCATAACGCTTCATTTCAAAAGGATGTGTCCGAGTATATGCCCTTTTGGTCCCTCAGTCAAATGTATGTGAAATATGGTTTTTATTACTGTCCTAGTTATAATTGATAAGTTATAATTTACTTTTTCATGAGTTTTGATGCATAATAAGCCCCCTGCTGAGAGTCAGAATAAGTAGCCTAACAAAACAAAAAATAGTCATTATCATAGAAAAAAACACCAATAGCAACATGTATGACATACAAAGAAGAAATAACTTAAGACACATGAAGAATTAAAAAGAAAATCATATTTTTGAAGTATATTTAAGGATTAAATTATTTTTCAAATTTTTGAATTTCCTGCCAGTTTAATTTGAAGGGAGGAAAACAAGATGGCTGCCATTTGATGTAAGAAATATCAGAAAAAATTTGCTTCACTTTTAGTTTTCACAATGAGCACAGTTTTCCGGTTTAGGTTTTTTGACTGATTCTGACTCTTCATTACCAGGGTCATGTATAGGGATTATAAAATTGAAACCAAAATGTTGTGCTCAGCATGAGTTTGACTGAAATATGTGTAACTTCACCAACACAATTAAAGTCTCAAACCTGGATGCTCAGTAACTTTGAGTTACTATAATCCCTTGATTACCCAGATAAACACCAATTCACTTATCCAGAAATACCATTCAATGTCTATACAAAGAAAGTAAGCGATGTTTTGGAGGATATGCTTCAAACTTTTTGTATAAATAAATCTTTTAATACTTGCCATTGATTTTTTTCAATTCTGACAAAGTGATATACACTGTCTTTGATGCCAATATTCTTCATCAATTGTGATACAAATTGATATTTTTTTAATCTCAGAAGAAGGATAAGATATTGAAGTTTAATCATATGTGTGATTGAGTTGGTTTTTCAGACATTACAATTTTCAATATTTTCTAAGTCGATACCCAGACTCATTCCCAGACTCATCCTTTCTTTGAAAGTGTGTCCTCCGAGGAGTCACTGGAAATATGACGCTTCTCCACCATGGTGCTGCATCAATGGGACCTGGCATCAACCGTTTCAAAACAACCTTTACAAATGTGAGAAGATCTCAGATGGTTTGGAAATAATCAAGTCATGTCCACGTGGTGAAAAGTTCAAGATATTTGCTTGGGATCGTTGCAATTGTTGTACGTGCTTATTTGTTGTCATCAAACATCAGTATCAAGTTCGTATCAAGACTGTTGCCAAAATGTCGGATACTGTTTAAACTGATGATGTTAAATCATTTTTGAAAACAGTGGGGTAATTTTAATAATAGAATGCTTCATCATTAATAAAGCCGAAGCAGATCATCCTATAGTTAGTTCAGGATATTGGCATTATTCCTTGGCCAATATAATATACGGCCTACGGCCCTCGGGCAGATATATTATTTATGAAGCTGTAGTGTTCTGGGTACTTGCGCTCTTTGATAGGCAAAAGTTTCTCGGGATAATCCCAATATCCTGAACCTCATATAGGATAATCTCTATATCTTCACGTGATAGTCGATATACATCCTTGCAATCATGGGATAATGATGTTATTCTTCGGACTGATAAAATAATTGTTAACCTCTCTATTCGTTTAACACGTACTGTTGACCTTGATATCTGGTCTTGGTCAAACAATTTGGAATAAACAATTGAACCGCCAGGTGACCTCAGGAGAGGTTTAAACTTGTATTTGTTGTTGAAATATATATATGTATTAAACCAATTTGCATTTAGATGACGAGGATTGCGATGATGTGTTATGTCCATTCTGTAATGGTCGCCCAGGGACCAAATGCTGTCCTTGCCCTTATGATCAATACCGATAAATGTAAGTCTCGTTTTAGTTCATTCGGTGCGTATCGGAGATTACCAAATGCAAAATAGTTGAAAATTGCGTAAGGATAGTGAAAAGACTGTATAAAAAACAGATAGAAATTACTATGAAGGACAATGAGAAAACCATGTGTAGTCCATGTTATGAATTCTCTAGGACGTCTAATAAAGGAGCTGGTAGCAGAGTATCTGGAGTATAGCGCATCGATATTTGACCTAACATTAACATACCTATATATGTTTCTTAATAATCTTTATTATAACCGTTTAATATACTTCCGGCTTTTAGGCTGAATCATGCCTGGTATTAACAGAGGTAAAAAAAAATTATCAAAAAAATATATATGATCTAGGTTTCTAAGCTATAAGTTTGAGGTTTTTTTCTTATCAATACCAAACAATTATGTAATCAGCGTATCGACGTTTTGTATTGTTTCTCAGGTATAGATACTAGTAATATAAAAGCTACAAATGAATCACTTTTATATTAGAATGACAGATGCTTAAATTATGCTAGTTTTTCAAAAATGGGTCTCAATACGTTTTGAGAAATGGACTTTTATTCAGCGGTGAACATTATCAATAAAGGGGGGCCTATTTCTCTTCCTTGACTAATTGGGACTACAGCTAAAATTCTATTTCTCTTAATTGGATATTGCTCAGTTGCTTACAAACCAACTATCAAGACTTGGTCGAATTCATAAATGATTGAGAAAAATCGTTATCATTATCTTCCTAAAATTTGATTGTATCGGTAAGGTCGAAAAAAAAAGTTATACAATACAATACAGTAACGTCGAGGAAGAAGTGTAAGGCGTTCGATTGCATATGACTCTTATTGATTATTAGACATGGCCTTGGATATATGAACATTCCAATACCTCTGTAACATTAAATTACCTATTTGTTATTGTATTATGTTTATAAAACATGAACAATAATTTGTTGTTTGACCCCTTGCGATTATATGGAAAAATTCTGTTAATAAAATGTTTAAAATGGTCACCCACATTTCATACAAAAAACGACGATTTTTACAAATAGGGGAAATGGTCCTAATTATCGCACGATTGTCCTAAATAGCTAAAATATGCACCCACCATATTTTAAACCAGTGTTAGGAAAAAAGTTCAACACCATTACTTCCAATCTCCATGATTTATTCATACATTTAGTAATATCTCTTCATTTTTTAAGAATTGTTTACTTCCGCTATTGCCATTAAGGCTATTGCGCTAGAAGTGAAATTCGTTTGACAAAGTTTGACCCCCTCCAAATAAAGACAAAAAGTAAGTGTATAATATATATTTTGTTGATATTTTTCACTAAAACTGATAGGAAAATGATTATAGCATATGTATGTATCTGTTATAAACAGAGAAATGTATACAGTATCGTGAAATGACATCTGAAACACAACTGTGCGATAAGTAGGACCACCCCACATGCCAGTCTAAGGGGTCTTAAAGTGTTAGCTTTCCAAGATTGAGAAATGTCAAACACTACTTAAAGGACAAGTGTCTTTGACACCCCATATTAGCCCCCAAGATATTTAGGAAAAATTGTACAGGATATCAAAGAAGAGACTTTGTTTGATAACCAGATCCCAAAATTAGGTCATTCTGACCTTTATATTTCAAAATATAGGTCATTCTATTAACCTGTATAAAATGGAAAATCACTTTTTTCATTATTGTTACTGTTTCTATTTATTATCAAAATAATCATTATTTTCAGTCATTTAAGACTTTTTAATTGATCTTCTTGGTATTGTCTTACATAATAGTGACGAAGCATAATGGGCAACATTCGAAAACATATAAAATATAACAAGTCAAAAAGACAAACAAAATATTGAATAGTGATCATCTTTATACTTCATTGAGATCAATTGTCTACAAAAAAGTTTGCAAAACTATAAAGAATATTGAGTTTTTTTTAATTTACATCACAATGAGAAAGAACAAGAGGCAACATTAAAAAACACATGAAGTAATAACAATTCAAAAATGCATATCAATCAATTATATATTGATCTGCTTCCTTGAGATCAATTGCTCATATACAGTTTGTTTTAAAGTAACAGTTAAATACTGAATTTAACATTTCACAACACAATGAGGAAGCACAAACAGCAACATTTAAAAACACATTAAATATAACAATTTCTAAAAAGTTACTCTAGACTTTACATAACTGTTGATGAGCACATTCAGTGTTTGTTCATCATAATCATTCAGTGTTTGTTCATCATAATAAGAGATTCTATGAGCTCATCATCTTCTTCAGATGACAACATTTTAGACATACGGGGTGTATCTTTTGATTTTAAAACAACCCTACTCCCAACTTGGCATGTAGAACACCATCCAGTGATTGCATTATTACTATTACACCCTTGGTATACGCAGCTAATGAAAATTGACCGGTACGGGTCAAAAGCTGGACCGGTACGGGTTAACGGTTTTATTTGAATTTAAAACAGCCATAGCTTGCTCAATATTGACTTCCTCGTGTCTAATTTGAAATATATGATGCCTCTCGATGCTTTTAAGTACCCCAATTTTTTACAGATTTTTAAACGGACCAAAACTCTCTAAATGCGCATTTATGCTCTTTTCTACTTAATAAAAGTTATCGTGAAAATGAGACAGTCGTTCTCGAAAATGAAATATATGAAAATGTCAGTATTCATTAGCAAAGTATTTAAATTCAGATCGCAAAGGGTCAACTTTTTATTATAATATCTTATCTTGATGTTTGTTTATAATTCATAGCTCTCTTTTTCAGTTTGAATCCTGCAAAATTATGACGAACAAGGGAATGATGTAGATAACTCTCAACTTATGTTGCACTGTATACGGTTCAATTAATTCGTATTTTGTTTGTTAAATAAATATTCATCCGGCTGCAAATCTTCATATTGTCATTTATTGTCAGCTATTTGTCATTTATTGTCAACTTTTATCACACCATTAAGTGCTAAATTGTGATCGGTCTGCCAAACAGGGGGGGGGGGATGGATGTCCCACTTAATTTTGTCTACGCGTTCCCACGCGAACCATTTGGCTTTTTGATTCCAAAGAATAGGTATAGATATGGTGGACTGAATCCAACAATGTTTATCTCTATTAAGTATTAAGAAGTATTAAGAAATATTTTATATAACTGTTTTTGTTAACATTTTTGGTTTTTTGCAATTGTTTTTGCTCCTTTCTACCCAATCTTGAGAATGAAATAAAATGTATTTTCGAACCTTGTAACAAAATAGCATTTACAACATGTTTTAGACCTCTCAATATTATAGTTATACAAAGGAATTTTTGGATAAATTTAAAATTTATTCAAAAAATTAAAACAAAATACCCCCAAAATAGATAAAAATCAAGATAAACCTTTTATTACACAAGGTACTTTTTTTAAATCAACCGAAATTTCCTTTGTACAATTACAATATTGATATACCTAAACACGTTGTGTTTATGTCATTTTGTTCAAATGACACAAGACAAAATCGTATGGAATAACTTGCGATAAGCTAGTTATTAAGCTTGTTATTATGGTCTTACTAGTGGTTATTATTGAGTAATGGTACAGGTATTCGATATGGTATTGCAGCTTACACTTAAGTAATGGTACACGTATCCTTGGATTTTAGGCCCGAATACCGAGGTTTATTTTTTTAATTATCGTGTATTATTATTTTGTGTTAATATTAGTTAACCATATAACTATTGGCATGATATGATAACCTTGTTATATTAATATAGCGCATAGGTGTAGCCAGGGGGATGCGATGTGTGCGATCGAACCCCCCCCCCTCCATAACCAATGAAAATAGAACCATTAGATAGATGAAAAAAGTCTTAAAATGCTTTTTATTTGAAGCTTCTAGCTCGATTTTGAACGAAGTTGCACCAATTTTTGTAAAATTCAAAACAAATCTTCAAAAACATTTTTTATGCCACGATCGCACCCCCCCCCCCCCCCTCCCCCCGACTGAAAGCTGGCTACGCCACTGTAACGTGTAATCAATACGCTACATTTTGTATGTTCAATTTGTATACTAAAAACTGTTATTAATCCACAAATTTAGATGAAGACAAGATAAAAATTCGAATCAAGAATGAAAAGGTGTCTAAGTATATGATTCTTAAGGGTAATGCATATTTGAATTAAACAGAGGCGGGTTAATTTATATTGTGCTATGAATTAGGCTATTATTCAAAATTGCAGCTAAGATGCCTGTTTTACGATACCCTGCGTGCAGAGTCTAGTTAAACTACACTAAGAC